GGGGGGGGGGGGGGGGGGGGGGGGGGGGGGGGGGGGGGGGGTTAGTTACTTATATAAGCTTCAAGTACCCAGGAATGGGGGTTGCTGAATAAGTTCTTAAGTATCTAACTATTTCAGTTGGCTTTATAAATTGTTAACCATAAACTATAACTTCATCCCTCACAAATATTGGTTTTTCAATTTAAGTATATTTTCAATTCTGTCTGATTAATATGCAAAACTCTACGCTACACAAGTTGTTTTAAACCACATTTTCAATTATAGTCATATCTAATGTTAACTGTCAAGAAAACTGTCATTTACTGGAAATAAGTATTTTAATTAATATTTAAAATCAGAGTTAGACAAAAGTTTGCTAATTTTTTAATATTTCATGGAAATTGATTCAACCATAGGCAATTATGCAAGTTTATAAGCAAATCATTTGATGAATTATCTAGTTTTAGTATTAAAAATATATATTAGTTCACTTACTCTAAGATTTTAAAACATTAAGTCAGGAAAATCTTTAGTAATTGTTTCTTTTAATTACGTTACAGATTTACTCTACTACGAGTCATCTTAGGCGATTTTAACTTTAATGAAATCGAAGAAGCCAATAGAGTTCTTGGTCCTTTATACTTTCTCAGCTATGTGTTCTTTGTTTTTTTTGTTTTAATGGTGAGTGTTGTCCTGATATAGCAAATATTTGTAGCACATATATTTTCAAAAGCTAAGATTTGCAACTAAGCCTCGACAATTTGTAATTAATAATTTTTATTGAAATCTGTACTGATTTGTAAGTGTTATTTAAACTTCATTTTTGATTGTTTTCTTATTCCTGGGAAATGAACAATGAAGGTTTTGTGAATATTCATTCTTATAAAAGAAGCAGAAGAATGCAATATGGTAATAACATAAACTTAGTAAGTAGATAAAATAGTTTAAAAAATATTGAAAAATTCATATTATCTGATGATGCCACATTAAGTTTAGGAAACATTGTGATGTTTATTTTGTTCTTTTAATATATTTTAATGATTTGCCATTCTTTCTTATACTATCGTGAATAGTGTTAAGTATACTCCGTGTATTTTCTGATATTTCTGTCACATGTAATGTTTCTTCTACTTGTGATTAAGAGAAGAATAAAATTCAATGGTACACTTTCTGTTCTTAACTCATTTCATATAACTTTTCTCTTATAAAATTTTGCTTAATATTTTTCATTTAATTACAGAAACATTATTTAAGCACAAAGCTACACAAGGGGCTATCTGTGTTCTGTCCCCATGGGTATCAAAACCCGGCTTCTAGCACTGTAAGTCCACAGACATACTACTGTGCCAACTGGGGGCTACAGAAACATGGTTAATAAAAACCACAGAAGATAGCTTAGGAAAACAAATTACTTGATTATGTTATTAGTTTGTTAATTTTTCTGAATGATTTAATATTATGTTCAAGTTTCACAATAATAAGCTATAAAATTTTACATATTGAAATGTTGAATAGTATCAAATTTTTAGTTTCTAAAACTTATATGCTTGTTGTTGTTGTTTGTTTGGTTAATCCAAATGCATAATAGTTTTTCTAAGTGAAAAAACATTTCAACCAATAATGAAAGTTAAAAATTATGAGAGTACTAACTGGTGTTTTACCTTTAACCTGTTTGAATCTTTCTAGAATATGTTCTTGGCCATCATCAATGATACGTATGCTGAAGTCAAAACTGAGTTAGCCAATGAAAAAAATGAATTTGAAATTGGAGAGTATTTCAAAAAGGTGAAGTTAATTTTTATTTATATGTTAACGTTTTCATATTCATTTCTGGAAGTATCTAATTATCTACACTACCTTAAACAATTTAAGAGAAATTGCTACTTATAATATTATGGTTATGATAAGGCAAAATCACTGTTCCAAAATATTGTTAATTCCCCTCCCCCTTAGTGAGTTATTACATGAATCAAGTATTTGATCAGTCATGTGATCTGAAATGCAGATGATTGTTTTCTCAGCCTATGTTATTTAACTTGTGCTACATATTGGTAGTCTGACACAATCTTCTTTGTGTTGTCCTTTATATCACAGAGTTTTAAATGCTCCATACTGTTCCTGAACCATAGCTAGGCTTCAGAAAAAGACATTTAGATGTTTTACTCTGTTAGAGAGGCATTGGATTAATGGAAGCCAGCCAATCACAGAAGGATATTGTGAATTGGTTATAAGTGTGTCAAAGTGTCTTTATAATAATGTAGAATTGTTTTCAAACTAAAGTTACAGTTATTTAAACACCTGGACAAGGCAGACCATCAAACGTACAACACAAGGAGAAGACTGTTATCTGTTGATTCTGGTTTGTGACATTTACAAGATACCTGGTCTGAGACTGAATAAGATGTTTACAGCCAAAACTGGATACTGTGCCAGTATACTGATGATTAGAAACATTCTCCAAATGATCGGCCTGTACGCTAGATGTCCAATGATGTGTTCTGCTCACAGCAAGATGCAGAACAACTCATCTTCAATGATACCAAGAATAAATCCAGTGGACTACGAAAATGTGAAACACTCTTCTTTCTACAAATGAATCATGCGTCATTCTGTACTCAAATACATATATATATAAGGAAGAACCTTGGAACTAGATCCAACTTCCTTTTCATATACCAGTGATGGAAGCATGGTATGAGTAGGAATAAACATTAGTGGACATACTGATTTCTGCATTTAGCAGAAGAGTACTATTAATGTTACATATTATAGGAACCGCATCACACCTTTTGCGCTTCTATATATGTTACAATTGGCCCTAGCTTTAACCTAATGGATTATAATACTTGTTCTTAAATAACCAATGAGAGTGTCCTGAACACTCATTAGATTCCAATCTCATTAAATTTATATGGAATGCATCCAGGGATTTTAGATATTAAAGATAAACACTGGGAATACCTGCATCAGAGGATTGGTTAAGGATATCTCTGGTTTTTATCACCACTGTTTTTAACATGCAATATCAGTGTCAAGCTGCTCTTGCTGTTCATGGAAATTGTGTTCTTTATTGGAATGAAATGTCACGAGCTTTAAAAATATATAGCTAATGTACTTCTACTAAGTATTAATTTATAAACATGGACTGAATGCAAAACCATTTGTATTTTAGGTCTCTTGATAGAACATGAGGTACCTGATTTATATAAAAATGAACTGGGGAGAGTTATTAGCATTATTTTATAATAGTGGTTTTAGCTTGTTATTTAAATGCCAATTATTCTTTAATTCATTCGCAGTGTAATATCCAGTTATAAGGTTGCTCAATATAAATATAGATGTGTTTCTGTGCATGAACCCTGTTTTGTGAAAATACTATGAATAAAAATAGAACTTTCAGAAATAATAAATAAATGTAAGTTCATGTTTTAAACAAAAAAGTATAGTAGTGAAATAAGATACTTATGTTGACCAAATACCAGTTATATTTTTGATATGTTCTATATTACTATACTTTTTTTTTTGGTTTAAAATATTTTTCTTCTACCTTTCTTAAAGAACATCACACTCATTGTACTTTATTCTTGAATATGTATGCTTTTCTAAAGAAACTAAAATATTAATAATTAAAAAATGGTTTTCTAGAGGTGCAGATCATGTATCTGTTTTAATATTACTTTTATTCTATTTACTTAAAAATATTATTTTTAGCTCTTATGCTAGCCTATTCAGTAAGGATATTAGGTATGTTTATCAAACAATAATCTTTATTCACTCTTCATTATTAATCTTAATTCTCTCATTTACTTAAATGCATTAAACTTGGTTTTATTATTTTTTATAAACTTTAATTTGAGTTCGTTTATTTACACATGAAACATTAACTTTTATTTTTTCATTTACTCATAAAATGCTATTCATGATTACTTTATTTACTTATTGAATATTACACAGTTCCCTTTTTTTTTCTCCTCACCAGATACTACCTTGAGTATATTTACTCATAGTTCTTTTTTGGTACTCATAAAATGCTATTCATGATTACTTTATTTACTTATTGAATATTACACAGTTCCCTTTTTTTTTCTCCTCACCAGATACTACCTTGAGTATATTTACTCATAGTTCTTTTTTGGTACTCATCAAACCTTTATGCTTACAGAGCTACAAAAACTTGATGAGTAAGCTGGGAAGACGAGATAAAATCGTTGACATTCAGAATGCAATGAAACAAGTAAATGGAGATCAAATTCGAAAGTTTTCTTTTGATGAAATTCGACAAACTTTGAAACAGTATGTTTGAAATATTTTATGAGAATAAAACTCATAAAATTTCAGATATCTCGTTTTTTTTGTAAGAAATATCTAGGTCTTATTTAACTTTAGTACATTTGTATTTGATTTATGTTTATCTTCTTTCCATAATATGTAGGCAATGATTGTAAAAAAACAGATTCTGTTATTACTGATAATTTTTTTAACCTCCATATTAAAATTAATTGACTGTCAAAATTTTCCAATTGTTTCTAGATGAGAATAGGAATTGATTCCTTAGAAAGTTTGTATTAATTTTTATACAATGTTTAAATTGATAAATTGCAAATAACTTTATAAAATCAAAAATTTAACTATTTTGTGGAATTTTGTTTGTGACTTCTTGAGAGTTGAGTTTATTAGATTAAATGTATACACAATATAATAATAATTAACGTATATATGGCATAAAAATACAGGATTCATAAAATAGATAAACGTTTTTTTATTTTGAATTATTATATGGGAAAGATGTAGTATAAGAATATTTAATAAATTTGTTGGAAATCACTGTTGATTTGTTTGTCATTTCTATGCAAGAACACTAAATAAATTTGAAATATCTGACAAAAACTTAGTATATACTTAAATTCTTAATCACAAACATCTGATTCCTGGTTTTTATTATATCAGCTAATGAAAACAAGTATTGATCCCACTCAATTTCATTTGCAGACAAAACTTTACAGATGTTGAAATTGAAATGATTTTCTCCAAATATGACTTGGATGGTAATCGTGTACTAGATGAGATTGAGATGAAGCAGATGTTATTAGATTTGGAAGGTCAGAAAAGTATGCTTGAGAAAGAGATACAAAATGATAAACAGGAAGCAGAGAACTCTGGAGGAACTCGCCCTTCTAATGCAACTGTAGGAGGAGGAGGTGTAGCACCAGATGAGTTCAATGTGTATGTTATTCTCTATTTTGAAATACTTAAACTATGAAGAACTAATATAATAATTCTATAGAAATGTCCAGAAGAAAATATCAACTAAAAATTACTTGAGTTATTAATTATATATATGTATTGTGATTACTTAGATTTTGTTTTAATTTCGAAATATTTTCTTGCTTAATAATAATAAAATGATTTACAAAAGATATAAATATGAAATATAGTCAAATTAAATCTGTAGTATAAACATGCTTTTAAATATTATGATCATTGCACACTAATTATTTAACAAAAAATAAAATAGACATCAGTTAAATGTACCAACTGATGGAAAAACTAATCTAAAATTGATTCAAGAAAAACAATATTATTTCATTATTTATTTGTTTTCAGAAGTTATAATTAAGGTTTACTGTAATATTTCTCATAGTCCCCCTTTTTTTTTCTGTATACATGATCATCATGGGTAATTTTATCATCCATATTTCATGTAGATTGTCACGAAGAGTTGATCGAATGGAACACTCCATTGGGAGTATTGTTTCCAAAATTGATGCTGTTTTGGTAAAAATGAATGCTATGGAGCGAGCCAAAGCAAAACGACGAGAAAATGTAAACAAAATCTTGGATACTATATCAGAGGTAAAAGCAGAAAAAGACTGTAGCTAATAAAATTTAAAAAGTTTAGTTGTATACATGCCTTTCTGTATAACTTGTTTAGTAAAATGATATTTGTCAATGTAGTTTTATTAACTTGTAATTCCTGTTATTAAAAAGTTCCCATATTGAAACAAAAATTGCCTTTTTATTGTAGGAAAAATGGAAAAGATTGTAATTTTTAAAAAATGTTTTAAATATTTATCATTCTATTACATTTTAGCTGTTTTAGTTTTCTAATTTGTTTTATTTTAGTAAGGTCGATTATTATTATTATTATTATTATTATTATTATTATTTTTATTATTTCTTGAAGAATCTGAGTTAAATAATCACATATATTTTAAAAGTTCTTAATAAAAGTAAAGAATGTATGTTTTACCTCTTCAGTAAAGTAATTTAAGAACCTTGAGCTGGAGAAAGGATTTTATTAATTTTTAATGAAAAATATTTATAAGGAATAGAAAAATTAAATTTTGATAGAAGCATTAGATATATATATGATTTTTAATTATTTTAAATTAATAAGTATACCACATTATATTTTTTTTCATTTATAACAATCAAGTGCTTGCACATTAAGAAAGCTTCAAAAATTTTTTGTAATTCCTCAGACTGAAGGACTGGATGAAAGAGCCAAACGGCAACAAATGGAGAAACTTGTGCGAGAAGAACTTCAACGTTGGGATTCAGAGGCCTCCATGAACATCCCCGAACCTTCTGTAAGAACAATGAATTCACAATAGATACTCTAAAAGTAATATGTGAATAATTCTAAATCTCCAAAGGATTTTTTATTTAAGGCAAACAGCTTTTCTTAATGATTCAAATATTTTCGCTTACAGCTATACTTAATTCTGAGAAAAAAAAGGGGATTAAATATTTAGCCATAAGAATCAAACTGTAAGCATTTTGTTTGGTTTGGATAAATGAGAGGTGCCTCTAAGAGTGATTTTTGGCCTCATCTAGATTGTTATCAGTTTCACATATGTATTGAATAGATTCAAAACATCTAAAAGTACATAGAAATTACACTTACTTTATGAGGTATGTCAATGTGATGTCTGCTTACAGTGCAATCCACTTCATGTTTTCCTTTTACATTACATAAATTACATTTATTTTATGAGGTATGTCAATGTGATGTCTTCTTACAGTGTAATCCACTTCATGTTTTCCTCTTACACTACATAAATCACCATTTTTGAACTTATGAAAGTACGGACTGTTTTCACACACATACACACACTTTAGTATGGGTATTGTACTACAGTACCTATTTTATAGTTTATTGTGGTGTTGATGCTGAGTTATTTGTGTTCATTGAATAGAAATATGATATGCTATTAGATTTAGTTCTAATATTATAAACTACATTTATTTATATGTATTAATTCTTTGTTGTTATAATTTGTAGCAATTGAATTGAATGCAAGAATGGATAAACTATATATATAATATTTTCAAGTTTTGTTATATAGAAAAACAAACAGATTATTAACATTTTCAAAAGTTGGTAATGCTGATTAATTACTGATATTTTTTTGTTTATAATAGGCTAGGGGTGGCAGTGAATAACATAACCAGCACAACAAGACCAAGAAATTTGTAGGGACCAGTTCTCTGTATTAAGTAGGAGAGAACAAAAATCATTTGTTCATATTAGAGTGTTATTACGTAATTTCATCTCTCTTTTTTAGGGTATATCTTATTTGGAATATAAGAATGAAGAAATGTCTTAGTACTAGTACACATTTTGATGCTGATACATTAGAAACTAGAGCACTAAAACTAGAGATGCTTTGAATTTAAATTCAAGGAATTTAATGATTGACTTTAAAAAGTAACAGATCTTGGCATAGTTTTGTTTAAACAGTGTTTTTTTTGTCATAGAAATTTTATATTGCTATAAGTTTGGAATTAAATACAGAAAAAAAAATCTCTTTCAAGAAACCTTTTAATATTTGTTTTTTATTTTTCTTATTTTATGTACTTAATATACAAAAAATGCAAGGTTTGGGAATAAGTATATTCTTATGGTATTTGGAGATCTGTTAACATATCACATTTCTTTTAAAACATTGCACCATTACATATAAGTACCGAATATACAAAACAATTCAGAGTTTTGGTTTACTATCAGAATAATTTTTAACTATTGGTTCTTGTGTGACTTGCACCCATATCTCAAAGTGCTGCATTTACGAAATAAACTTTGTTAATTTTTTTTTATTTCACTACATTCTTTATGTCCTTCCAGTTTCCAAATATTTAACATATTTGATATTCTGTTGTGTCCCACTCATTGTAAATAGCAATCATGAAATGTAATTTCACACAAACTTGTGCCTGGTTCAAGAAGCTGTTGTTCTTCTACATGAATTTTCAGTCCTAGAACATTTTATCAAAAGATTTTTTTGAACTACAAACAGATAGTTATAAACTGTTTTTCTGTATTATAAAGTTTCTTAGTGTTATGTTGGGCTAGATAATTATGATTTCTATACTTGGAGCAAGAAAGAGAAAAATTGGAAACTTGAAAATCGGTTAATTTTCCAAAGTGTTGTGAGAGCAAGTTAATTAGAATTTATGATATGTAGTCTTCCTTGTTAGCTAACTTTTCTTTTAATCTTTTATTATTTCAAATATGCTATTCTAGATTTTTAAAATCCATTTAATAAATGTATTAACAATGGCAGCAATATCTCCGAGAAGCTTTGTAAAGGAAACACCATAATAAGGAAAAACTTAATTTTTTAAATACTTTGTCAGTTCTTTAATTTAGACTATAAAATAAATTTTTTTCGTCTTTAGCTTTGTTTTTAATTTTTCTGAATATTGCATACAAATATTAAACCAAAAATTATTCTTTTTTAGTGTTTCCTCCATTGTAATGAAGTGTGTTTGCATTAGCTAGTTGAAGATGGCAACAAATAATCTTGTATCACAAACTTAATGTAATACACACTGCACATTAACATACGATTTTTAACTAACAGAATTGTTGAAGAAAGTGAACAAAGGTACTATATAAACTTTAACCTAGAAGAATGAAACATAGGATTTGTGGAAATTAAGACAAATAACTTATTTTCTGTATTTTTCAAAGCAAAAATGAACATTTTTGAATTTTCTAAATCAACACCAACTTTTTAACACTACCCAGTCTTGTTGGCTCTAACCACAACTTAAATTAGTAATAATAGCGATTTTTACTGTTCATGTTGAGGAGGTTAAAATAAGACCATAAAGGCACTTTTTGGTAAACCATATTTCTTATGTTTAGAAGCTCATATATTTAATATTTTATTTCGTGGCTTATCACGTTTTCACAAATGCAAATTGCATTTTGTCTGTTGATGTATTTTAATATTTAGTTTTCTAGTATTCTATTACAATTGTTACTGTTTGCAGTGACATTTTTCAGTGCACTTGTAAATTGACTGTGTGAATAAATATGTTATGCATATAAAGCATTTCTTTGGAATTAGTTTGTGCTTGCTTGAGAAGGAAAACAGTTTCTGGTTAGAAAAACAAACCAATAAGTGGAGTATATGCTTTAAATTTAGCAACACAATAAAGCCAAGTGTATATTGAAGAGAAAAACATTTATATGCTTGAAGTTTGGCTGTTTTATATACAGTGAACATATACAAGTAGTGAATCTCAATTTTACTTCAGTTTGTACAAGCTGTGTTTGAACAATTGCAAATCTGTGTGATGAAAACTCAAGGTAGAATACTGTTACGTCTCCGTTCGTTAGTTAATTTTCCGTAAATTCGTTCGGACGAAACTTTAGCGACACAAGTCCTTTCTTAAATAAAACTGGTTTATTATTTCTGAATATAACTTTGCGATACACTTAATTTCAACATTCGCGCTATAACAAACGCTATAATTCTCAACGAACGTTTCATGTGCTCGACTCAACAATACTCAGCTCAATTACACATTGTTCCGTCACGTTGTGACCGTCTTATATATACTAAACTAACACATATCTAGTAAACGCTAGAGCATTCATGAAGGAACAGGATATTTCTAGAAGTCAATGACGTGTTACCAGCGTCACGTGACCTGCGTTGTCGTAACAATACTCTTTCCAGATCACAAAACTTAGTTTGGTTTATTTGTTGTTCAGCTAAGCAATGGGTTATTTGCACTCTGTTCACCACATGTATCAAAGCCTAATTTTTAGAATTATAAGTCCTCATAATTACTGTTGAATCACCAGGGGGCACTAAGTTTGGAGTAATACCTAATAGTCAATCCACAACATAGTGTTTTTGATGATTTGTATGATGATAGTGGCCCTTAGTGGTGAATATTTTCTTGAAGTATAAATTAAAACATTATTAAAGTAAAAAACTTTAACCAATTAAAAATAAATGTTGTACTTCTTGTCAGAATTGATATAATTTTCAATGAAACTGTTTTCAACAGCTGTAACTGTATTTTCTAATCAGCCTTTTTTCGCAACGTTTTCTTCCATTCTCTCTGTTGAGAAAAGAATGCTTGAAGTCTTTCGTTATCGTAGGGTGTTCTTTTACACGTTGATATGTAATAATTTCCTACGTTTGGTTTGAGTTGTTCTTTGTTTCAAACCGCTAGGTGGCATACTGTGGATCCAATATAAACCCATTTATAACATGTTAATGTAAATTTGTAGGGAGGAAGAAGTCAACGCCAAAGCTGACCCTCCGTGGTCCAAACGATGTACGAATCCCAATGAAGAAACTCAAGTAGACAAATAAAACTGTAAACAACTTACGCCCCTCATAGTTTTGGACAGAAATCTTTACTTTCAAAAATCCTTTAATTAATGCGTAATTGAGGTTTAAAGATGACTTTCAGCGAAATTTGTGGATACGAAGATTTTAAACTGTCTAATGTTATTTTATTTATTTATTTTATAACTTAAATAAACCTTGCACAGTAAGACTATCTTTAGAGGTAATTCATGTACATCAAACACTTGTGCTATGAAGAGGTGTTTCAGTTTTATTAAGTATTTCTTCAGAATCTTGCTAATTAGTTTTCAGGGAAATATTTCTTCTTAAGATAATTCTACATGAAACAACAGTTCTTAGAACTAACGTAAACATTAAATTGTGCTTGAAAACAGAAGATGTGAAACTTCTGTAATTAAAACAAAAACCTGAAAAGTTGGTTTATGATAATAAAACACAGATAACATTATCTCATGATTTAAAATTTTAAGGTCCAAAGTCTTTAGTTTAAAGTGATGTTATTCTTCAACAGTAAACTTTATATTTCGATATTTGTCATCCATATATAGTAAAACTTCCGAACACTAAATTTAAGTTTGAAGAGTTCAACTATATCACCAACATACCATCGGCTTAAGCTCATTAGGCAGCAACCATAATATATTTTGGTAAGAGAGAAAAATATGAAAAGGACTAATATAGACCTCTATTGTTACACCAGTTGTTTAGCTATAAATTTTTTTGAAACAGAAAATATCATTCCTCTGTTTTAAAATGAAAACCCCCGTTAATTAAACCGTTTACACTTCAAAATTCTCAAATATCAAGTTGACACATGGATTAATTACTCCTTTTAACGGGATGTTAATGTATAACGATTCTACATGAAGATTATACAACTTCAAAGAAATGCTGATCTCTTATATAGTAAGAGAAGTAAAAACTACCTCTAGCTGAATATTCATTAGTGATGTTTGGTTCTATAAAAATCAATCAAAGTAACTTGATGTTTTACGAATATACACGTACTTAGGTTAAATATGGTGCTTCGAATGGAATAACCAGAACCAGTATTATGAATTTTAACTACTCCATATTATCTTGCAGTTATCGCTAGAGTAATATTTTTTACACTGCTATGAGATTTTTTTATTATATTTTTTATTGGATGATTGTTTTTGTTACTCTACCAATTCTTGTTTGCTTTCGTTTTCGAAGACGACAACTCGGTCACATTGTCTTGGTTTTGACTTGGTTGTGACAGAAGAGTTCCACCAGTAACTATAATGTAACAATGAAAAATTAGATTTTAGCAACAACTGTAAAATAAAATACTATATGAAAATGGAAAAATATTACATTATAGATTAATTTTCTATTTCTCTTATAAAAAATTGTTACAACAGCAATTGCTGTGGTGAACGCCTTTAACAAACTGGCGAAGCATGATTATAATTAATTATATTTCGTCATATGACATTATGTTAGGCCTATTGTATTTTTAACACTGCATTCTTAATCTAGTCCTCTAGGGATTTTCAAGAATTAGGAGAGTGTATAATAATAGTAATTTAACCACACTATATTCGTTATATCCATTGCTGATGAGCTCTTCATGTAATTTGGTATATAACAATAATAAAAACTCACTAAAAAAAGAAACATTTATTAACAATACCAATTACAATGATTAAATTAGATGCT